AAACCCCTCCCTCCCTCCAACGCTCCCATCCCCCTCGACCCCTGACCCTGGGGCCTGCATTTACGTAGGGCCTGTGGCCCGGCGTGTGCAACTCCCTTCCCCCAACACAAAGCAAGATCCCAGGGAGCCGCGAGGGGTTATCGCCACCCTCCCACCTGCGCCCCCCCCCCCCCGCCCCCCACCAGATAGCGCGGCCCACACCCTCAAGGCAAAGGAGAACATTCGGCCCATCTGACGGTCTCCCGGCCCGTCCCAGCCCAGCATTCCCTGCTGCGATCAGAGAGAGGGGACCCCACACACGGGAGCCGCTTCTTGTTCACCCCTTTGCTGCACCCCCTGGGCAAGGGTTGGGGGGTGGGGGGTGGGGGTGGGTTTGGGGAGGGGTGGTGTCTGCTGCCTGTCCCTAATTGCCCGTTTGTGTGGGGGTTGGGGGCGCGGTTTCAGGGGACAACTTAAGACTCTACCCCAACAGCTGTGGGTCTGGAGTCACGTCCAGCCCCAGACAGGGTGAGGACGGCAGACCTCCCCAACCCCCTTGAGGGGCAACAGCGGACACTGCCTGCAATGGGCCTGGGGTTTGAGCCTTAGGGAGAGGGCGAATAGGCCGGGGCTTTTCTCCCTGGAGCGTCGGAGGCTGAGGGGTGACCTTATAGAGGTTTACAAAACCCTGAGGGGCATGGATGGGGTGAATGGGAGGTGTGTTTCCCCCCAGGGTGGGGGTTTTAAAGACTAGGGGGGGGCATATTTTTAAGGTGAGAGGAGAAAGATTTGAAAGAAGACATGAGGGGGGCATCATTTATTACACAGAGAGTGGTTCGTGTGTGGAGCGAAGAGGTGGGTGCGGGTACAACGTTTAAAAGACATTTGGATAAGTCCATGAACAGGAAAGGTTCGGAGGGATAGGGGCCAGGAGCTGGCAGGGGTAGGCGGGGGGTGGGGGGGGAGGCGCTAGTTTAGTTTGGGACCGTGGCCGGCACGGACTGGTTGGGCCGAAGGGCCTGTCTCCGAGCCGCAGGACCCTCACCAGCGAGGACCGAACCGAATCTGCATTCCAGCGTCCGCGGGCGGCGGGGATTGGGACACAGCAGCCTCGGACTCGGAGCTGGCGCCTTGCAGAGAGAGACGACGACGGGGCCGGGGCTGCATTCGTGTGGCGCCTGGCCTGCCGGTGGCGGGGTGGGGGGGGGGGGCGCGGGTGTACGAGTCAGCGGTTACCCTGATGGAGCAGCTGATGAGCGATCTCCTGCAGTGGGCCTTCAGCAAATTCTGGTAAAGCTTCTTCCTCTTGTCCAGGCTGACCCGGTAGTCCCCTTCGTCCAGGGGCACGGGCTCAGACACACCTCCCGTGAAATCCACCAGGGCATCCGCGGTATTGCCCCCCTCCAGGGCCTCATAGCAGCCGTTCAACCTGGGTACGGGCCAAAGGGGTGGGGGGGTGTGTGGCAGGAGGGGTGGGGGGGTGTGGCGGGGGGGGGGGGGGAAAAACAGGGGGAAAAAATCTGATCAACGTCGGCACAGGATGATCCCAAACGCACCTCCACCCAGTTTGTCAGTTTCAGGGATCGTCTGCTCTCGGGCAGCGCCCTCCACTGTGTTAAACTGAAAGTAAATCTCCCTCTACACTGTCTCCCCCCAATCAAACACTCCCCAAGACAGGACAGCACAGGATTAGATACAGAGTAAAGCTCCCTCTACACTGTCCCACTCCCAGGACAGGGAAAGCACGGGGTTAGATACAGAGTAAAGCTCCCTCTACACTGTCCCCCACCATCAAACACTCCCCAGGACAGGGGCAGCATGGGGTTAGACACAGAGTAAAGCTCCCTCTACACTCTCCCTCATCAAACACTCCCCAGGACAGGGGCAGCACGGGATTAGATACAGAGTAAAGCTCCCTCTACACTGTCCCCCCCGCCATCAAACACTCCCAGGACAGGGACAGCACGAGGTTAGATACAGAGTAAAGCTCCCTCTACACTGTCCCCCCCCATCAAACACTCCCCAGGGACAGGGACAGCACGGGGTTAGATACAGAGTAAAGCTCCCTCTACACTGTGCCCCATCAGACAGCCCGAGAGAGCCTGGAGTCAAACACAGTCCAACTGGAACAGGCCAGCTTACGGAATTCATTCCCAATTTTGGACATTTCTGTTGAGAAGGCTGCGACGCATCTCTGGAGCCGGCGGGTCTCGAACCCAGGCCTCCTGGTGCGGAGGTAGGGACGCTACCACCGTGCAACCAGAGGTCCCGAGACCCTCGTTTAAAGTTTATCGTCGCAACCGTTTGAGTCCTGCAGGATTCGTGTTTTGTTTCGCCTCTTTGCGAGCAAAGCCCGTGCTGCCAGCCTGGCCCAGCGTTGATCGCCCCGTCCTTAATTGCCCTCCCTCCCCTCGAGGAGGTGACGGTCAGCTGCTTTATCCCAACGGTAGACCCTGCTGGGCTTCCGTTGGGCTCTGGTCTCGCTGGGGCATATCAGAGTCAACCACCTTGGCTGCTGGGGTCTGGAGTCACGTGTAGGCCGGACCAGGGTAAGGACGGCAGATTTCCCCACCCTAAGCGGGGGCACAAGTGACTCTCTTTGCCGACATTCTCTTCCGGAAGAGTCCCCTCACGAGCGCCAGTGTAGAGGTAGCTTGACTCTGTATCTAACCCCGTGCTGTTCCTGGGGGGCGTTTGATGGGGGACAGTGTAGAGGGAGCTTTACTCTGTATCTAACCC